TTATTGCGGCCACCATAAAGATCTCTAATCTTTGACTTTCCAACTCCCATTTTCCTCTATAAGAATTTTTTTATAGGTTGAGAATATAGGGATTAAAGCTGACATGTGGCTGAAAGCACAGATTACCAGTAAACCACGTGACTATGATATCTAGGTATGATACTGTGGTTGCAAACACATTCACATATCACAAACTTCTGGTACATTCCTTTCAAAAAAAAAAAACTTCTGGTACATGAGTAGTAAGTTACACCCAAAATATTTATTAAATTATAAGAAAAAAAATATATAATTTGATGACAAATTTTAACATTCGAATCAAAGTAAATGGAAGGAGGACTGTTTTTATTCACTAGCAGAGCGGCAGAGGAGCACCATTCCATTCTTTAAGACAATCCAGGATGGGCTGGACGATCTTCCCTTCACAGATGGCTGTGAAAACCTTGTCGAACTCCTCCCCTGGAGACCTGACCTTCTCCCCTGTTAGAAACCCTGTTCCTAGCTCCTCCCTCACAAGCTTGTACAGGGGATAAGATCTGCATTCCTTGATCCTGTTCGGGATCGCTGGATTTCCGCTCTCAAGTGAAACTCTGGCATGCTCTACCTCCTTTGGCAGATGGGTCTTCAATTCTGCCTCAAAAGCTCCGATCTTTTGGAAGATGGAAGTGCTGGCGTTTTTCTCGTTCTCGCCGTTGGACATGGCGTGTTCCACAAGGACCTGACGGAGTTTTTGCATCAGTGGGTAGGTCTCGCTGCAGGGGTCGTCGATGTATGCGAAGACGTATTCACGGTCCACCACTTTGAGTAAATCCTTCTCGCAAAATCTTGAAGGGTGGAGTTCGCCATTGACACCGGTGGTCAGGACTTTCTTGGCTACCTGGCTTACGGTGTTCTTCACAGTGTTCCTCAGATTCTCTTCCAAATGCCTCAAATCAATGGCTTGGCAGAGTGCTACCAGGAAGGTGGAGGACATCAGCTTCAAGATATCGACAGCCTCCGCTGTTTTTCGGGCGGAGATTAGCCCCAAGGAATTCACATCTTGGTTGTGCTGTTCGGCGCTCTGGACGTGGTTGGTGACTGGATTAGCCAAAAACTGGAGCTCAGAACAGTAAGACGCCATAGCAATTTCAGCACCCTTAAAACCATAATCCAAGCTCGGATTCCGGCCACCGGACAGATTCGACGGGAGCCCGTTGTTATAAAAATCATTCACGAGCTCCGAGAATTGGGCAAACATCAATTTTCCTATGGATGCAATTGCCAGACGGGAATTGTCCATGGAGACTCCAATCGGGGTCCCCTGGAAGTTACCGCCGTGCAGTGCCTTGTTTCTGGAGACATCGATCAGAGGGTTGTCGTTGACGGAATTAATTTCCCTTTCGATTGATTTCGTTGCAAATCGAATCACTTCAATCTGGGGGCCAAGCCATTGGGGAGAAGTCCTCAGAGCGTAGCGATCCTGTTTTGGCTTCTGCAGGGGATCCATTTCGTGCAATTTCTGGGCGGCTTTGACATAAGCGCTGCCGTCGAGAATGTGCTCCATTATCGCGGCTGCTTCAATTTGGCCGGGGTGGTGCTTCAATTTATGGGTCAAGTGGTCTGTGAATTCGGGCTTCCCGTTCATCACTTCAGCGAAAATTGCCGATATAATCTCCGATAGGACAGCGAGTATGTTCGCTTCGTAGAGAACAATTGAGGCCAAACCGGACCCAACTGCAGTGCCATTGACCAAAGCAAGCCCTTCCTTTGGCTGCAATTCGAAGAACCCCGATTCGATTCCAGCAAGCCGGAAGGCTTCCTGGGCATTGAGGGTTTCTCCGTTGGGTCCTACGGACTTAGAATTTGGACGGCCCGTAAGCAATCCAGCTATGTAGGACAGGGGAACGAGATCGCCGGAGGCGGTGATTGTGCCGCGGAGTGGCAAGCATGGAGTGATGTTTTGGTTGAGGAACTTTGTGATTGCCTCTAAAATTTCAAATCGAATGCCGGAGTATCCCTGGAGGAGGGTGTTGATCCTGACCAGCATGGCTGCTCTGCTGGCTGAGTGAGGCAGAGTATGGCATGACTCTGTTCCATTTCCAAAAACTCCAGCGTTCAAGAATCTGAAGCAACAACCCAAACAAACCCAATTAACACAAATGTTACTAAATTTTTTTACCCGTTCTTGTTAATTAAGAAAGCATCATAGCTATCGTCTCTGTTTATAAATTCACTCAATAAAATTTCTAAATTTATTTGAAGATATGATGACTGCTCCATAAAAATTTTTTAAAAAGTAATTAAAATATTTCATTTCGCACCTGATGAGCTCCTTTTGAAGGGCACCGCCTTGTTTGGTCCGCCTATGAGAAGTGGCACCAAATCCAGTGGTGACGCCATAACTATCTGTCCCTTTGTTCATGCTTTCCATGACCCAGTCGCTGCTGGCTTTGACACCGGCACGGGCGGCCTCAGACAGCTCCACCTGAACATCCAATTCACGAGTAGCTATAGCAGCAACCTGGGATATGGTCAAGGTCTCGCCACCAAGCTTCACCAGCGGCTTCTGAAACTCTGCCACCATACGCTTCACTTCCTCCAAATGGCTTCCCTTGAGTGACTCGGCCACACCACCCCAGTTAAGCGGGTCACGACTAACACAGAATGAATCGTTCTGGTTGCGATTGCCATTGCCATTGTCAATAATCATCTCACTCTCCATGTTACAAAATTAAAAATAATAATAATAAAAAGAGATAATGGAGAAGAGAATGGAAGTGATGAATACAACTACTGGACAGAGGGAAGAGGAGGAATAGGTGGGAATTGGATTTCCTTTTCTTCCTGGAATGAGAGAGAAGAAGGGAAGGCGTTTAAATAAGGAATGAGGGGGGGAAGAAGTCAGGGAGATGGTAGGTAAGCGCAAGGGAGGGGAAAGCCAGGGTTTGTTGAGAGTGGATCGGAGCCGTTGAGAGAGATGATCGGAGGGTGGAGAATGGACTTAGAGTTGGGTCATTAAGTTTGACTGGGGATAGTGGAGGAGGTGGCCATGGGGTGCTGGGGGTAGGAGGAAGGTGAGAGGAAGGCGTGGTTGGTGGGAATATGAGTTAAGAAATTGG